CCCCAAATCCCCCCAAAACCCCCCAAAAAACCCCAAAAACCCCCTCAAAATCCCCAAAACCCCTCAAAATCCCCAAAACCCCTCAAAATGCCCCAAATCCTCCCAAACCCCCCCAAAGCCCAAACCCCGACCGCTTTCTGGGCGTCCTCGAAGGTTTTCTCGATGGCGGCGATCTGACTGTCCCTGTCCTTGTAGATCTCCTCCTCTGTGAACTGCTGCTTCACCGACACCCCGATCCTGCCACATCACCCCAAAAACACCCGGGAACAGCCAGAATCAGCCAGAATCAGCCCAAAAACACCCGGGAACAGCCAGAATCACACAAAATCACCCCAAAAACACCCGGGAACAGCCAGAATCAGCCAAAATCACCCCAAAAACACCCGGGAACACCCAGAATCACACAAAATCACCCCAAAAACACCCGGGAACAGCCAGAATCAGCCAAAATCGGCCCAAATCAGCACAAAAACACCCGGGAACAGCCAAAATCAGCCCAAAATCACCCCAAAAACACCCCAAAAACACCCGGGAACAGCCAGAATCACACAAAATCAGCCCAAAAACACCCGGGAACAGCCCAAAATCAGCCAAAATCGGCCCAAAAACACCCAGAAACAGCCAGAATCACACAAAATCAGCCCAAAAACACCCGGGAACAACCAGAATCAGCCAAAATCAGCCCAAATCAGCCCCAAAACACCCAGAAACAGCCAGAATCAGCCAAAATCGGCCAAAATCAGCACAAAACCAGCCAGAATCAGCCAAAATCAGCCCAAAATCAGCCCAAAAACACCCGGAAACAGCCAGAATCAGCCCAAAATCAGCCAAAATCAGCCCAGAAACACCCCAAAAACACCCGGAAACAGCCAGAATCAGCCCAAAATCACCCAAAATCAGCCCAAAATCACCCAAAACCAGCCCAAAATCATCCCAAAATCACCCCAAAATCACCCAAATCAGCCAAAATCAGCCAAAAAGTCACCCAAAACCAGCCCAAAATCCCCCAAAATCACTTGAAAATCCCCCAAAATCACTTGAAAATCTCCAAAAGATCACCCAAAAATCACCCAAAATCCCCTCAAAAGCACCCAAAAATCCCTGAAAATCATCCTAAATTACTCCAAAATCCACCCAAAATCATCCTGAATCACCCAAAATCACCCAAACCCCACCCAAAATCACACAAAAATCACCAAAAATCCCCCCAAAATCCCCCAAAATTCACCCAAAAATCCCCCAAAATCCTAAATTACTCCAAAATCACCCCAAAAATCCACCCAAAATTCACCAAAATCTACCCAAAATCAACCAAATCCACCCAAAATCACTCCAAAATCAGCCAAAAATCCCCCCAAAATCACCAAATCCCCCAAAATCACTCCAAATCCCCCAAAAATTCCCCAAAATTCACCAAAAAATCACCTCAAAATCACCCAAAAACCCCCCAAAATTCACCCAAAAATCACCCAAAACCCACCCAAAATCACCCAAATCTTCCCCAAATCCCCCCAAAATTCCCCAAAAATCACCCAAAATCCCCGCAAAATCCCCCAAAATCCCCCAAAATCTCCCAAATCCCCCCAAATCCCCCCAAATCCCCCAAAAATCCACCAAAATTCACCCAAAATCCCCCCAAAATCCCCCCAAATCACC